GTAGCCATCAATCTTCATTGACTCAGCCTTAACTTTCTAAGATTCACACATTCCACTGCCATGAAAACCATAAATATTCCCAGCTCCAGGCTATCGTGTGCCTCTTTCCTGTGTACTTCTTTGAGTGTGTTTATGTTGAATAAATCTCATTATGCCTGTTAAAAATAAAGTGTTCAGATGTGTGTAGGTTACAGGCAATTTCTATGAAGTACTTGAAGATGATCTCTTGAGCTCCTGGAACAAACCTCCAGATGCTGAAAGCAGAGTATGTGGAACAAGACAAGGTCCTGAGCCTTTTTGTGGGAGGTGGAGAGAGAGAGAGGGAGGGAAGAGAGGAAGGGGCTTCTGGCACAGGTGATGAGTAGTGCCGAGAGAATAAAATGGAGCTGTGGTGAAGTCCCTGTGAGCCCTCTCAGGAGGTGGTGAGGGAGAAGGTTTGGGACTAAAACTTCAAAGTACAGAACTGGCCATGCACGCTGCTCCTGGGAGACAACGGGCCTTGAAGGTCTGAGCACTGGGGCCACTGCTGGCCATGCACGGTGCTCCTGGGAGACAACGGGCCTTGCAGGTCTGAGCACTGCGGACCACTGTGGAAAATCCCACCCCCACCTGTGCAACCTTAACTCCTCCACCATCTCATTTCTTCAGTTTTAAAACCTGATCAGATATGGGTGGAGGGAGCTGCTTAACTACATAAGTACAAAGTGACCACTGATTTCAGATCTCCAGGATGAGAATTTTTGTTTTCTGCCTTATGTCCTAAGAAGGACATAAAAAGGGAATATATCAAACTCCTGGTGCTTAGTGGGTTGTGGGAACACGTCTGTAATTCCAGCACTCTGGGAGGCTGAGGCGGGAGGACTGCAAGTTCAAGCCCAGCCTGGGCAACTCCGTGACTTAGTGTGATGCTGTCTCAGAATTTAAAAAATGATGATTAAAAAAAGGGGCTAGGGTGTAAGTTGATTCAATCCAGTACTGCAGAAAGTAAAGATCCAATTTTTGTTGCTTATATACTAAGTTCATAAGTATAATGAGAATAAAGGATCGAAACACTATATGCCTTTAAAAAAGAAGGACCATTAACTGAAAATTGCTTTCTCATGTATAATGTTGCCATCATTTAATCATCTTTCATGAGCTTTGTGGAAAACAGAGTTTAGAGTGCTCTACAGCATGAGGCCAGGGCTCAACTATAGCTCAGAAAGGCCCAGCCTGGTGTTAGGAGGTAGAGTGGGAGCGGAGATTCTTTCAGGTTGAGTCAGAGTGGAACTGGAGGAAAGAGACTTCCCAGGATTCAGAGACAGGACCCTGAAAAACTCCCTGGCTCATGGATACAGACCCGACTAGGGGAATCTAGATAGCAGGGGTCCTCATTTTCAAGTGTGTCTGGGAGGGCGACTGATGTGTGAGCTCAGGATGAGTGGGGAAGGGCAGCCCCAACGTGGGCTGGCACTATCTGTCATGGATGGATGTGGGAAGAGCTGGAGGACACAGCAGAGCCTGCTCAGTCTCCCTGGAGGTGGCAACCCTTCTTTCTCTGTGCATAAACATCAGAACTCTAGATTCTCTAGCTTTGGAACCCAACACTTGCTCCAGTGCCCCCAGCTCCCCAAGTTCTCAGCCCTGTGGCCCTAGACTGAGGGTTTTACCCTCAACTTTTCTGGGTGTGAGGCTTCTCAACTTGGATGAGCCATGCTACCCACACCCTTGGTCTCCAGCAGGCACACAGCCTGTCACAGGACTGTAAGCCTCTGCTACTACATCCCTATCCATCTTCCTGTCTGTCTAAACATCTGTCCTCCCTGCTGGTTCTGTGCCTCTGGGGAGCCCTAACATAAAGATTTTTCCTCATTTTCCTTAACTTTCTTTCCTTTCCTTACACACACACCCAGATGTGAGATTTCATAAAACCATGTAGATGTTTTGTAGATGTGGGCTCAGGGGGCTGAACTCTTAGCTCCTCCTCACTCGGTCCTGTTCTGCCTGGGAATCTGCTCTATTTTCCAGAGGAACAAGGCTTGATGTTACTTGCTGGGCTCTCTCTCCAAGCCTTTGTCCAGAGCTAGTCCTTCCTGTTTTCTGCATGGGCAAGACTCAAAATTCACAGCCTGAAAGACAACCCTATCTCCAGGTCTCCTGTATCACTCACACAGAGGCATGAAGCACAGGTCAGCCTGGGTGCATGAACCAGAGGGGGAGAAAAGGGGACCAGGAAACGCCAAGCTATGCATGGATATTAGACACGATCCCTCATTTTCTCCTCTGCCGTGTTCTTTCAATACATGATCTCTTTCTGCCTTCAGTGTAAGGCAGGAATATGAACTCTCTTTGAGAGCAACATATCAACTTGGACAGCCTGAGGAACTCTCATGTCTCACAGCAAAGGCAGGGTTGGGGTCTGCTTTGATGGCAGGATTTCCAGTCCTGTACCAACACCACAAAGCTGCTCCAGTGCTGCAGCCTCTGCTGTCATGATTTCTAGTACCTGCCTGTGTCAGCAGCCCCCTGCCCATGACCTGCCAGGTAAACTATGTGTGTTTGAGCTCAGCTGCCCTGACCTGCTGTTTGAAGAACAATTTGTCCATGAAGGGATAAGGAAGATATCAGGAATATTCCCAAATAGTTTCAGCTTATAGACCACCCCTAAATTAGCTTTGGGGTGGCCATTGGTTTGGAGTGCTTTGTAACTACCATAACGGTCCTTTTTCCTGATAGTCAATTGGGTTGAAAGTCAACTGGGTTTATAATATAATTAGCAATTAAAATTGTCACAGCAGTTTGACCACAGTCAGGCACTTTTTGGATGTATGCAGATCACTGAAATTTTGTGGAGAAGATTGCAAACTGAAAGGACTTTCTTGAAGTTCAGCTCGTCTACTGCCAGCTATCTCCTGGCAGTCTGGTGGTATTATATGGGCAATAAAAAAATGACAAGAATGTACTGTCCCATGGACCCACTCACTGAGAAGATCTCTTCATCAATAGTGCTAACAACTATTTGTTCTCTTTTAGGTATCTAAATTTAATCTATGTTGAGATCTGCTGTCGGTCATGAATTCATGATCTCAGATTCCTCACTGTTAGGACTTACGTCTAGCTGTCCCCTCAAAAATTCATGCAGTCATAGGTGGGGCTTTTCTAGAGGTGGATCTAGAGTGTGTGCTTGATTCATGGTGTAATACCAAGATTAAGAGTGCTAGGATTAAGGGTGAGTGATTATAAATGTCCACTGACTGGTTATCACTCCCCTAATCCAGTAGCCTGGATACAATAGAAGGGACAGAAAGAAGTTTTTCTTATCCCTTGCTGACTGCTTTGGTACCTACTACCCACCATAAACTGTTTCTCCTCTGTGATGCCTGTCTGCCTTGGATCCAGACGATTATGGAATGAAATCTCTGTAAACTGTGTACTAAATAATCCTTTTAGTCTTTTGGCCATTGGGTATTTTGTCTTAGCAATGAGAGAAAAATAACTAAGACACCATGTCCTCCAAGCATGTAGACCATCTGACAGACGGAGCACCAAGAGTCCCCTCTGCTGAAGCCAAGACCCCTCATCACAAAGGAACTGTTTGAATCAGCTTGTTTTTTCCACCCAAGGAAAAGATATAGTTTCACCTTCTTTGATTCAGATTGTTTTTTCCTCCCAAGGATAAGATACTGTTTTACTTTCCTAAACTCTGTTCAACTTGGTTTGGTGGGAAACAATCTCTTCAATCTGAAGAAGTCTCCTTAAATTTGTGTAAATTAGTCAAATGTCTGCCAAGTGGCCATCAGCTGCAATGAAGAATCTGAGGCGCTAAGAGGGCAGGAAGATAGGCTGGGGACCCCTGGCCCTCCCTCACCACACTGCTGTGCTGTGGAGGTTGTGCTACACAATTATCAACAGCCACAGCTGGGAAATTCTCACTTTTGTAACCCAGCTTTATCTGCTTCTCTACACTGAAAATATTTTTGAAGGTATAATTTGCATCATTACTATAATGTCTCTAAATTCTCAGGCATGAATCAGAAATTTTATATTTCTTTATATTATTTTTATCAAAGCCACGTTTCTCCTATTCTCCTCATGAAGCCACTGAGTTTTTGCAAGCTTGTGGGTTTACTTAGGTGGAGCTTCAAACTCTTTCGAGAAGATCAGTGCATGGCTGGCTGTCCTTTGCTACCATGCAGGGTGAGCAGTGCATCAGTGCACTCGACAGAAGTGACAGAAATAACTTGTCTCAGGGAGCAGGCCTCGTATGTCGTTATCTCTTTCAGTGCACTCAGATAATTTAGATCAATAAACCCATGGTTGCTTGAGACATACAAACCCTGATTTTGAGTTTTCCTAAATGTCTGGAATGTTTTCTTCATAATGATAGATATTCTTCCCCCCCCCCCCCCCCCCGCAGTACCAGGGATTGAACTCAGGACCTTGCGCTTGCTAGGCAAGCGCTTATTCTACTAAGCTATCTCCCTGGCCTTAGATATTCTTTTCTTAAATTAAAATTTCAGAAGAAAACACATGTATAAGTGGTATGGAAATAGTATTCAATTTAAAACAATTCCATTGTCATCACAGTGATACATAAAGTCGGCCTTGGGAACACAGCCTGTTTTGCTTATATCCCAGATTTAAAGAGTTGATAATCACATTTCTAAGAACCAGAATTGTGGCTTGTGAGGATGACACAAAAATAGAGGAGGAATCTTAAGAGGCAGTTTCTAAGCTGGGAGTGGTGTCATACTCCTCTAATCTCAGCACTCTGGGAGGCTGAGGCAGGAGGATGGCAAGTTTGAGCCCACCATAGGAAATTTTTTAATTTAAGGAGACTCTGACTTTAAAAGGTGGAAAGGTTTGGGATATAGCTTAAGGCAAAATTTAACTCAATACTGGGTTAAACCTCCAGAGCCACAATAAAATATAATTTCTTGGAAATGAGGCTGTCTAGGGAGAAGCACATGCACAATTATGAATAAACACATTACATAAAATATGAAAGAAAAAAGCCTTACCCGAATCCAGAGAGTAAGCGACAGAAGAGAAAGAAGCCATAACCTTGGACAAATGAAGAAAGGAAGGCAAAGAATCCGTTGACAGACATGCAAATCAGAAGAGACTGTTTCCTTCCCACTTTGTCTGCCAGGCCTCCCCAGAAGAACGCCCCCACCATCATCCCGAGGTACACTATGCTGCCTGCAACACACAGAAAACAAAGAGACATGTCAGAGATTCCCAGTCAATGACACATGTCACAGCAAATGAACAAGGCACAAGATACATTCCAGCATTTCCCATGGGTAAAACCTGCTCAGGATGCAGTCTGTCAGGATATAGTAATCAGCTGTCAAGTAGGAACTTGAGCTCTGCCTGCTACCGTTGGCTGCCATGGGCAGTTGCAAGGGTTGATGGGAAGTCATTTCCATTACCAACTCATGGAGAAGACACAGTAGTCAACAGTCACACCCACCTTTGGAAGTTGGGTACACAGAGCACAGGAATGAGAAGTCTCCTTGAACAGTAAGCCTGGAGCTTGATATCTGATCAAGTCAACTTTGGTCTGATTGCGCAGAGCAGCCCCATGACCAGGCTGAGATAGGAGACTGACTTGCAGGCAGTCAGGTCAAAGAGGGACTGCCACAGTTTCAGATCTCTGCCTGTATCAGGTAATGTCACCAAGGCAGCCCCTGAACGTGTTCTGGAGGGTTCTATGAGTTCTTTCTCTCTAGGCCAGTGGTGGCGAATCTATGGCACACGTATGTCACTGCGTTTTTCTAGGACAAAAGATGCTAATATGGAGTCCGTTTTTGCTCTAAACTAACACTCTCGTACTCAGGTTTAGCTGCAGTGTTGGCATTTGGTGATAAATAAATGGGTTGTGGGTTGCAGTGTGGGCACTCAGTCTCTAAAAGGTTCACCATCACTGCTCTAGGCTCTCCTGAAAACTCTGGCCCTTCCTTGGAAGTTGCGGAGCTAGCCTGAGCAGTTTCAGTTCAGTTTAAATTGGCCTCTAGCTCTGTGCATCAGAAAAAATTGTAGCGTTGGGAGCTCAGGAACCTAAGGAGAAAGGAAAGAGCTACGGTACAGTGGGGACAGTAAACTTGTAGTCAGCTCCAGTCACTGAGGGGAACAAACAATCAGGAGTCCAACAGAGATTCCCTTTGGTGTCACTGTCAGTGGACACTTGAGTTCAGTGGACACTTGAACATTCTAACCCACTTTGTTCTTCTAAGAGACCAGACCTCCACCAGCCCTGTATAAAATGTTTACCAGGATAAAATAATATTAGGCATGGCAAAAAGGTTGGTTCTGAAAGTTCTTTTGTTTTAAGTATGTACAATGTCTAGAGAAAATGCACCATTAATAGGGTTTGCTGTATCTGGACACGGCAGTGCAGGAGCGGCCACGTCGTCTTCCAACCATTTCTGGTGTTTTCCTTGCTTCCCTAAGGACTACTTTCTAAGCACATCCAAGAAGCTCTGCGGCATCAAAGTAAGAAAGTGAAAGCAAACATTGTTGTATTGATTGCTTTAGAGTAGTTTGGGAAATAAGCTGTTTAAATAACTGCAAGTTAGTGTGCTAACTGCAGTGAATGAACCAGAGAAACTCGGTAGAAAACACTTCACCGGACCTCGAGACCCCGCGGATGATGTGAGCTCTGTGGGCAGCTGAGTACACGGTGTGTGGTGAACGCTGCCCGGCTGTGACGTCAGACAAGACAAAAGCTGCTTCTAGGGAGACTGGGATTGCACAGAGGTGGGTGGTTTCCTCTGCACCGTGACACGGACTCCACAACATTACCCTTCTCAGTAGAGACTGCTCATATCGCGAGACTGGAGGCAGGTCCTGGGGATGCATTAAAGTGTGCATCGGCACGCTGAAAGGGGGTTGCAAACGAAGACAGACCAAGGAATGGAAAGGCTCAGGCAGCGCATCTCTTACAAGGTAAGAGGCTCAAGCTGGCCTCTTGGGCCTCAGAAGGGTAAGCAGTTGATAAGCATCTTCATAATTATGTGTCTTAGCACCTACAAATGAGAAATCAGGCCACTGAGGATCCAGCAGAGCCTGTGGCCATGACAATCTAAAGACGCAGAAGGCTTTCTTGTAGCCTGGGGTCCAAGAACAAAGCTTCCACTTGCCATTTCTGTCCTGTAACATCCATCCAATCCAAAAGTAAATAACCTGGTACGACAGCAACACTAACACAAGGCCTCCCATGCTCCACATCTATGCAGACAGCAAGGTCAATACTGAGGCAAGCTGTCTGCATTTGATAGCCACCCACTTTTAATGATTGATTTGTGTCAGCCATTCTTCGAAGGCTATTACCACACTTTGGATCTTGTAATCCTCACCAGAATCCTGTAACCCATTTCACAGATGAAAAAACTGAGGCTTAGATTATGCAGTTTCATCTAGGAATTATAAAGTGGCAAATTGGGGTGGCAAAATACTATTCCTCTGACTAAAGCTTGGAGGTCTTTTGTTGAAACTCAGCCCCTCCAGTGGGACCTCTTTGACTTTCCCTTCACCGGAAACTAAGAGGTTAAAGCCTGATACCCCGGGCAATGCCTAGAGCTGTAAAAGATCTGCTTTTATGCCTGGGCTGTTATGGCTAATTATTTTGAATATTAACACCATTCTTTCTCAAGAGCTTCTGTAGGAAAAACCTAGGAAACAGGTAACCTCAGACAGAGCAAGCCGTCTAGGTGGAGGTCAGGGTTTCTGCTAGACTCAGCCTCCATCTTTTTAAAGAAAGTGGATCTAAGCACCTGAGCAAGCAAAGAAACTCCACCCCCTCAGCCCTACACACAAGCATCCTGGACTTCCCAGCCAGACTCCACGGGGCTACCTGACCAAGACACACCATGCTAACATGGGCATCTCTGTCTCTGGGCTCAGTTCCCACACTCCGATGTTAGGATCAGGATGTGTAAGGAGCCCAGAGTTCAGTAAGATACAAACAGATGCACAGCTAGGAGAGCCTGTGGCCATCAGTCCCCGCTGCCGAGGACTGAGTGGAACCTGAAAAACAAGAAAGATTTCAAAATGGATATGAACTCCCCCCACTGGTATGTTTACAACAACAACAACAACAACAACAACAACAAAATGTTGTATTAAGTGGCATCTCCTTATTTGGACCCTGATTAAAATTACATGTAGGATCTAAATGTGATACTCTTTCTGTGGCTACGCTTGGCTCCTCTTGGTGTTTGGTCATTTCCATTGTGCAAGCACTAGAAAGAATTAAACCAACCAGGTAACTTATTTGAGAAAAGGACAGCATGACCAGAATGTTCATTTGTTGAACATATGACTTATTTAAAGCCAAACCTTTGAATGTTGGCACAAGGTGAACAAAACCATAGTCACGTTGGACTTGTCAGATTACAAATTGTATTGACTTCACCATTGGAGTCTCTGAAAACTCGGAGTACATGCTCACTGGACACACATGCGCCTCTTCTATGCTCCAAACCTCACGATGCTGCTGTTGGCCAAAACGACACAGGATCCAAAGCCCCAGTTTTACATGAGGGGAAGCAGAGGTTATTAGAAGAAGACAGAATTTGAAATCAGGTCTTTTAGATTCTCAGTCTTCACAGTATGATCTTTATGTGTGGGGTTTTTCAAATATATTGTTACAGACAGCGAGTTAGATAGAAATATTATAGGCAGTCAGAAAGGGTCAGGCCCTCAAAGGAGATAACTCAGAAGACAAGATACTTTACAACTGTGGGAGGGACAGATGCTCCCGCTGTGGGCCAGACCTAAAGACCAGTGATCATACAAATGCCGACCTCCCTAAAGATTGGCATCCGAGATTGATCATCACCCTGAGGGAGCCAGAAGAATCATTAATCTGACTACTAATGGATGGCTACCTGATAAAGTCCTGTTCTACATTCATGCCCACTTGCTACGTGACTGGCTTCCCCATTTGGTCCTGAGCTTAATCAATTTTACCTGAGCAATGGTGTTTGTAATCTCATTGGTTGACCATAGTTTTGTCCCACCTCATGCCCACCTAAGCGAGTTCTCAAGTTCTCCTCCTTAGACCCACCTTACCACATGGTTTCACTCTATAAAAGTCCCTGGAAAAGACAACTTCCTGGGGACTGCCCGCTTGGGCTCCCTTCCTGTCCCACTCGGACAGGGGCTTTCTTTCCCTCAATAAATATATTCTGCTCATAACCTCTGTTTCTTCTTAAAATTCATTCTTTGGTTTTAGAGAACACAAACTTGTTCAGGTCAGGTCAGAAGGTCATTTTTCCCCTATGTCCTTTGGAGGTTCCCTATATTGTTTGGAGGTCACCCACCAGAGATCAGTTTTTATCCTTGTATCAGTATGATGGAATACTACTCAATCATAAAGAAGGATAAACTTGAGACTTTTAAAGGTAAATAGATGCAACTCCAGACCATACTCCTAAGTGAACTAAATCAGACCCATGGGTGTAAACATCACATTGTCTCATTAGTGTGAAAAACTGAAAGAGTGTGAGCAACTGAAATAGGGTCCAAAATGTACAATACATACTGCAAATAGGTAAGAAACTGTTCAACAGAAAAGAAGAACTGTGATGGGGCAAAAGGGCAAGTCAAGAAGGAAAAAGAAAGAATATGTGTGCACACAGGGCAGTTAGGAGCATTGTACAGCCAGTTCCTCTTGGTTTATTGAGGGAAAAGTTTCATACTAATACTTTTTGGATGCTGTTTCATGCCTATATCTGTATTCCAAATGGTTACCATGAACATGACAGTAGGCAGTGTGTTGGTGGTTTTGGTCTCTTATTGGCCTGCTCTGAAACTCTGTTTTATTGTTATTTTTACTTTTTTTCTGTTAAAAAAAAGTGCATGATTTGACCTTGGACTTTGAGGTATAAATGTGGACTCCCAGGCCCTCGGGAACTTGCCGGCTTGGAGTCCACACTTGGACCTCATCCCCAAGTGGTCCATGTGCACCTTTCAATCTCAAAGCATTTTAGGCCGGCAAGTTTGCCACAGAAGCAGACAATCTCTGCAATCTGTTCCTTGCCTCAAAGACTGTATTTGTCTGGTAGGTGTTACTGGGATTAGACGCAGGCTATGGGAAACCTGAAAGACAAGGGGCAGGCACAGTGACCTTGGATGCGGTGTGATCTCAGAAGGCCAAGCAGGAGCTGCGTGCTTAGGAAGAGCTCACTTCCCCA